GGAAGTATGGCCTCAATGTTTTGGATGCGGTGATCAAAGATAGAGCTAACTTCTCCATGCCGAGGTAGCGAATTTCTGCTGCTAAGAATGCCTTACTCACGTAATAAACAGACAACTATAAGGTACCTTCTTCTCTTATAAGAACCACGCAAATGGCTTTGTTTGAGATGCAGGGCCTCTTCGGCCTCGGGCTTTGAGTGAGAGGGCTTGCCCTATGAGCTTTTTCAGGTTCTGGAAAGCCTCTTCACACTCCTCCATCCATTGGAATTTTTTACCCTCTTTTAAGATGTTAAAGAAATGGCAGCATTTGGTGGTGGCCTTCGAGATGAAATGGCTTAAAACTGCCACATGCCATGTTAATCTTTGTACCTCATTTTGTTTTTTAGTGGACCTCATATCGACTGAGACCCAAATTTTTTCTGGATTAGCCTCTATACCCTTCTAGTTGACCATGTATATTAGGGGGTTCAACCTTATCCTGTGTCTCCGTAGAATATGGAAGGTTTCGTCCAAGTGTATTACATGGACATTTGCCTTCAATCTCTTTACGAGCATGTCATCCACGTAGACCTCTATTGTTCTGCCATTGAGGTCGAGAAACATTTTGTTAACGAGTCTCTGATAGGTGGTCTCAACATTTTTCAATCCAAAAGACATCATTTTGTAATAACAAAGGCATCTATCAGTGATTAAAGAGGTATTTTCTTCGTTCGCTGGTTGTATGGAAATTTGATTATAGCCCGAGTAAGCGTCCATGAAACTTAAATGTTCGTGCCTAGCGGCAGAGTCCACAAGTTGATCTATCCTTGGAAGAGGAAAAATGTCCTTAGGACAAGCTTGGTTGATGTTGAAAACGTTGATGCTCAGTCTCCATTTACCATTGTACTTCTTTACCAAAATTGGGTTGGAAACCCATTTTAGGTAAGTAGCCTCCCTAATGAAGCCATTTTCTATCAGCTTTTATACTTCTTCTTTCAGGACCTCATACTCATAGTTATTAGATCCGACTAGGACCGACTAGGACAAGGTACAGGGTCTCGAGTTATTGGTTGAACCGGTAGGTCAATGGTCGGACCGATGTGTCATTGCATAAAAACCTATAAAAAAATTAAAGTACAAAAATTTTTTTAGGCAAAATCTATTTTTCAGCCTGATCGGTCTGTCCGGACCTGATTTTATAACTATTCTCATTCCTAGGCTCGGTTGAGAGCTCGTCTCTTCTATCTATGCTGGACAATAGCAGGATTAATTTTCAGTTGGTGGCAATTGACTTTGGGTCAATGTCCACCATGTCCCTATGCCTCTATGCAAAGATATCTAGGTTTCTGTACAAGAAATCCTTAAGTCTTTCTTTTGCCTCCAATGATAAGCCTTTTCCCACCTATAATGCCTTGGTAGGGTCGTGAAGGTCTACTGAAAAACTTTCCAGCTCTTCTAATATGGCTGTTTAGGATTCGGATTCGAAAACACGAGGGTCAAATTCATCAAGCATGGCCCCCTACTTGAGGGTGTCCATCATCTCGACGTCTTCTTGCCCAGAATTTTGTCCTCCCGTGGCATCTATCATGTCAACGTCCATTAACACCATATTGAAGTCATTGGGTTCAGCCTTCCTTATCAAGTTCGGGTAGCATTCCTGCGCTCCTCTTTGGTCACCCTTAACCGTGGCAACCCCACGCTCAGTAGAGAATTTCATGCATAGGTGATGAATGGAGGAGACGGCCCATAAATCTTTTAGGGTGGGTCTACCTAGTACCCCATGGTAGGCGGATCTGTTATCTACTGCCAAAATTCCAGGAAATTTAGAACTGTTTGAGGCGGTTCTCCCATTTCCACTGCAAAGGTTATTTTTCCCCTTAAGATGATGTTGTCGCCAGTGAAACCGTACAAGGAAGTGGTGATGGGAGTCAATTCATGATCGACGATCATTTTATCAAAAGTGGCTCCAAAGAAGATGTTGAGAGAACTGCCATTATCTACTAGCATCTGTTTCATCCCCTTACAAGCTACAGCTACCCTTACCATAAGGGTGTCACAATGGGAAATGTACACCTTCAGCATCCTCCTCGGTGAAAGTGATGTGTGGTTGCCTTCTCCGAAAACTTCTATCTACTATGTAGCTAGCCATTTGGGGGGGTGGGGGGGTCTTTGGCCTCTCTAGCATAGTTCATTTAGGAATTCCTTATGTTATCCCCAACGTAGGGTCCTCCAAAAATCGTGTCAATTTCATGGACATGAGCATCTTCTATATTGGTCGGGGCTCCCTACGTTATCGTTATCATTCTCTAGGTTTCTCTCTCTATCACGCTACCTTATTCGCCGCGGGGATAACTCATGAAACGAGGAGAGAGGGGTCTGGTCTCTTCACGCCTAGGTCTTTGGCCTTGCCTAGGTGGGGGTAGGTTCCTGGGAGGAAGGCGATCACCTATTTGGTTGTTTCGAAGATTAACCTGCCTAGGATGTTAGGTTATATCTTTACAATCTGTTGTGTTATGACTATAGGAATGATTATAAATGAAATATTGAGGGGTGCTCGGCCTATTTCTAGGTTCCAAACCCCGCCCTCAATCTCCTTCTCTCTAGGAGTCCCATTGTCTAGACCCAGCCTATCGCATGTTAATATCGGAGGTTACATCGTTTAATGTAGTCGTGGCAAGTGCTTGCCTAGAGTTGGGAATGGCTTCATGACTAGCTTGGTTCCATTAAAGGTCCATTAGATGAGGTAGGTGCTCTCCCATGCTGTCTCAAAGGGAGTAGAAGACCCCTACTAGCTCTATTTCGATGATCGATCAACTTCTCATTGATGATTTCACGCCTCATCATTTCCTGTTGGGCATCGTAGTTGGTGGGGTCTTGATTCTACACATCTCTCCAAAACAGGGTGTTTATGTTTAGCCCACCCCTCAAAGCAGATAATGCCTCCCAGTCAGTGATTTGCAAACAATAAGTCATCTTATCGGATAAGCGGGCTAAGAAACTTTTCAACATTTCCCCAGGTTGTTGCCTCATGTCCTGAAGGCGTTGGATAGGAGACTCTCCTTCTTTACTTACTGCGAACCATTTCAGGAATGTACTTTTAAATTCTGGCCAAATTTCAAACACTTCACGCAAAATCAAATGGAAGGCCCTACATTTGAAGACAGGGAAGGCTCCTCTTGGGCTTATGTGCGTTTTGTAACTGTTCAAATGCTTAGTCGGGTCACCAACACTAAATTGAGTTCTCCCGAATTTATCTTTTTACTTGTACCAAGATGCACTAGATTTTTTAACATTATACCCCAAAATTATCTCACATTAAAATTTCATTTCCTATGCGCTTTTTCTTTCCTTTAATGGATAATCGAAATTCAAGTTTAAATGATTTTATAAATATTTTACAAATTCATAGTTTTAATGCAATACAATACAAAAAATATATATTTTTAATTCAATATTTTATAAGAATTCAAATTTATCGTTGTTTTCAAAGTGGCTGGTCATCAAGAATCACGATCCTTAAGAATTACTAAAAATATAATAATTTATCATTTTTTCGCCTTTATAAATTGATCTTGAACTCCGGAATGGATTTTTGTTTGTTGCCTTATTTAATAGATTTTTTATATCATTAGATTATAACAATGACAAGTGATTTCATACTCTATGTTTGTCTATTTTCAATTTGATAAGTAGTTTCATACTTGTTTTTATAATTTCTTTCAACATAAAGAATCGGATCAGACCGAATCGAAATCGGTTGGTTCGATTCTATAGTTGGATATGGAACCAATGATTTCATTTCTAAAATTTTCATTGGTACTCAGTACAGTTCCTATTAGAACCGGATCAAACTAGACCGCCCTTACTCCAACATGCGAGTCTGTCCAATATTGTTGTAACCAGGACCTATTTCACCCAGGATTGCTGCTGTATTGCGCCGACAATTAATTTTTATAATCTTTTATTTAAATCATGCATTACTCAGGAAAGTCCGAAGAATGACTACCTTGCAGACAATACTCTCTAATAGTTATATGGCATAGCCATGGTCCATGGACCTACCTTATTGGTCATGCATGGCTTATATTTACTCCAAAAGTTTGTGGCTGAGAACGGTGGATGTTCACTCACATCCAAGCACAAGTGGCATGCTTATCTTTCTAAGATAGTCGATGTGCATGTTTATAGTTCAAATGTATTGTACAATACTAAATAATGTTAATGTTTGTTGTAGAAAGTATGGCTTTTCAAAATGATTGTGTTTGATTAATGATTTCGGTTAAATTTATGCAATATTGATTGTGAATGCATATGCACATGTGCATAAAGAATGTCATGATTTGATTTCTTTCCTTGATAATCATTTCTTGCAACCTAATGCACAATAGAGCTAGAAATACTATTGCCATTAGATATAATTATATTTGGCTCGTGTTTATAAATTTTTTATAAAATACTAAGTAATTTTTTATCACATATTTTGAAAGATCAACAAGTATTTTTCACATATCCACTACTCATAAAATGATTGTTTAACGAGAATGATATGATTCCACTTGTGCAAAGACTAAGCAAGAAATTGAAAACATGTTTGATGAAGATTTTATTGAATTCTTAGTCCATGTTTAGTTTAGCTAAATATTAAATTTTTATTAGATTTTAATAGAAACTGATGAAATATTTGATTAAAAATTTGATGATTCCATAAAATGTGCGGTGGAAAATTTTGATAAAATGGTTACCAAACGAGGACTTCAACCATACATTTCATCAATTTTTATCAAATTTATTAAAATTTTAATTTTTATCTAAATTAAAGGGGAGTTTAGTTCAATGTATCGTATACCTGGTACATTTCATTCAAAGACAACTTTAGCTAATATTTGTCCAATTTTCATTAAAAAATACTGTCGTTGACAGTATAAACACAACGGACTATGTCAAACAAATCAAAAAGGCCAAAAAAAAGTTTTAAAAAATTGGTCAAGTCAATGGTCAAAATATTGTTCTTCTACCTATGATCACAACCACAAGATGAACACCAACAGCTGCAAGATGAACCAAATTTCTGATGTGATTCTGATTCTGAAGCCAACAGCATCATTTGAGGATATATCTGATTCTGAAAAAGCTTGAAAATTGAAATTAGGGTTTGAACCATAAAGAGCTTGTACGCCCTTTATATCATCAATCTTCAAATCTAACTTCTGCTGTCTAGGTTTCAAGCTTGGATACATAACTGCATCTTTAACACTTGTGTGTGCCAATCCCAACAAGTGACCTATTTCATGTAAAGCCACCGATTCCAAATCTACGGCCACGTCTGACTTTTCCGTTTTAAAGTCCACAGCCCATGTCTCGGCGGAGTCAAGGTGGAACCGCCCACTCTCCGGCGAAAATGCATGCGCTAATACCCCGAGTACACCGTCAAACGCCTCTCCATCTCCATGATCACCACTGTAAAACCCGATTTTGATATCTGCGAACCCGTAATCGTTTGTTTCTACGAACGTAACCGGAATTACTGCTGCCCAATGGCCAAAAGCGCGTTTAAAGACCCCCCTTATGTCTTGCATGCTTAAGTAATTGATAAAATTGCTTGGTGAAAATGCGTACGTAAGTGTCATCGGTATACTTCGATCCCATCTCGGCCGGTCGGTGAAATATTCGAACCGTTGCATGGCACCCAACTTTTCCGGTGGCTGGTCTGGCACACCACACCGTGGCAACATAATCTCCGACAATGTACCTGAATCTAGCTTTCCCGTAATTGGAAGGCCTAGTTTTGATTGATATCTTGTTATGGCATTTTCGAGGTTGGCATCGAATATATCGGTAGCATTCATTTCTTCTGCCATCAAATAACCAAAATGATTGAAATATTTCTTGAGTTGAGAAATTCCATCAATGAAACTCCCTTTTGTCACATCCTGGAATTTTTGGAATTCATGCCAAGTGTATCTATGATTTTTCGGGTTTACGGTATAAGTAGGAGTTATTCTAGCATGGATATAGGGTGGAAAGGAGAGGAAAAGTAGTAAGAAACAAGAGAAGAATGGTAACATGTTGGCTTCTTATGAAATGCATGAAAATGTTAGAATTGGGGTATTAAAATAGGGAACCTTTATTACAAAGAAATGGTGATCAATTTCCAGAAAATGAAATGTAACGAATTTATGTTGACTTGTGATGGAGCAAAATTGGAATTAGAATTGGAATTTGACTTGTTTTGATTTTTAAAGCAATTAAAAGGTAGACGAATTTGATATGAATTCTGGTTGGGACTCATTTTCATGGGGTAGACTCTGATTATTTTTTTTAGCCCATGTTTGATACATATTCTTTTAAAACTTATTTTCAATCACACATTTTGCAATAAAATAATATTTTACATCACATCAATAACTTTTCCTTATTTTTTAACTACATATTTTCTATCATATCACTATTTAAAATACATTCTTTCCTCAATAATATCCACCAAACACCCCCTTTGCATATATTCAGTTAATGGTTGGAATATCACAATCTTGAATTTTATCAATCTAGTAGCTAGAATATGTCAAATATATCCAATTAAATGTACTAATTAATAGACAATTGAAGTATTCAGATAATAAGGGTCTGTTTGATAGGTAAATGTGGAAATGAATTCCAATTCCATGTTAGTTGGAAAATAAAAACTCACTAAACTCATAGGAATTCGTTTTTCATGAAAACAAAGAAAATGCAGCTTAAAGTGGCTATATATTGACATTTGGTTTTCATTTTCACGTTACAATCAAACGGTCAAAATAAAATTCCTTTTTTCTCCAATGTGACCTTTTTCATGAAAAAGTTTGCAATCAAACGAGGCCTAACAACAAATTAAATTCTAGCCACGGATGGTCAATTTTGAACAAACCTAATTAAGGTGGCTACTAATGTCAAACATATACACTAATTCGAGTTTGATTTGTTCTTTGCTTAATTTTTGTTTTTTTGGGTTAGGTTCAGTTATTGTTGTTGGTGTCAGAAGCAAAGCAAGAGATATTTCAGATGTGACAGAAGTTCGGTTATGGACTTGTTTCAGTTTCAAGTTAAGAATGAGTGTCTGTTTGAAGCAACCGATTTGAGTTCGTTAAGTCCTATCATTGTTCTGCTGTTGCAATCGCTTTTCGTGGGGCCTACCTTCTTCTATTTTTTCAATCCAATTAAACAAACTACAGTAAAACCTTTTTATAATTCTACTTTTTAACTTAATTAACCTTATTGCAAATAATATAGGTGTACAATTATATGCCCTATATTAATATAATTAATTAATAAGGCATGTCAAATTTAAGGTATATGCATTGAGAAAAGAGAGGATATAATTTTCAAAAATAGTGTAATCATGTAGTATTGAAAATAGTAATCTAAAATTTTTTAAATTTTATATTCTATTTAAATCTTGTTCTAATGTAAATTCTATATATACATTTTTATAATATAACACATGCAATATTCAACCAATTCAAGTGATACATTTTCCTCTTCCTCTAGCAAATCAATCATGCCAACCAAAGTTAATAAACGAACCCAATTGACCGAAAGTACCCGTGTTAAACTGTGCAAAATGGATGAATCGAACCTCAACTAAAAGCAAGAAGATATTGTGAAGTGGTTAGAAGATACTCATGGTCTTAAGGTATCACAAACAGTAATATCTAAGATACTCAAATTATCAACCCACCTCCTTCAACGTTCAAATATGGTGAAGTACCCTGAAATGGAGTATGTCCTGAATGAATGGGTCGTATGACATTAAGAGCACGTCAATATGAGTTGTGAATGTTATAATTGTTGTTCAAAATTAAATTTGGATCCAATGAAATGTGATAAACTAGACCAAAATCAGATGAATTAGTTTTGGAATTAAAATTGATAATTTGAGTTTTCCTCATGCGCACACAGGTACATGGCTTGAGCATGCAAAAACAGAAGCAAAAATGCTATACTATGCGTATGCATAAGCCAAAAAAAAGTCGTTAGGCTAGTTTTCCTGGTTTGATTCTTGACGGCTTTTCATGAAAATACTCAACTTTTCATGTTAGTATTGCACTATTTCGTGGATGGTAAATTGAAATCTATAAATAGGTGATAGATTTTAATTACAAACATAACAATTCAACAATCAAAACCATATTCTAGTGCTTTTAAATCCAATTCATTACATATTCAAACATTCCAAGTGTTCTTCAAGTTTTGGAAGATAAATAAAAGTGCTTAAGTATTTTCTTCTTTAAGCCTTGATCAATCCTACAAATCATTTATCAAGAGTCTCTTTAAGTACCAACTAAATTCTAAAGAAGGCAAATATCATTTGAGGACAATGATTTTGTGTTTGAGCCTTTCTACCATATTTAGCGTTCTTGATTCTTTCTTTTTGTTGTCATCATTAATCCCTTGAAGGATAATATTTCAGCAATCTCAAACGATATTCTGCGATGGAAATAAAATTAATATAACGACAATAAAATTGGTGAATAAAGATTACATTCGTTTGGACCGTTTTGATGGGACAAATTTTACAAGGTGACAAGACAAGTTAAAATTTCTTCTAATGGAATTGAAGATCTACTAATTCTTGATCCCAAATTGGCACCACTTACAAAACCAACGGATGAAGATCGAAGATGTAAGGATGGAAAGACAAAAGGCGTCAAGAGGATGAACCATATGCAGCGATCATATTCTCAATACTTTATCCGACCAGTTGTATGATCTTTACACCAACACATCTTCAACAAAAGACATTTGAGATGCGTTGGAAAACAAATATAAAGCCGAAGAAGAAAGTACAAAGAAGTTTTTCATATCGAAGTATTTTGATTTTAAATTCCTTGAAAATATTTCCCTTCTTCCCCAAGTGTATGAATTGCAAGTTCTTGTCAACAAGTTAAATGCGATCAAAATTAAATTTTCAGAATCTTTTTCCAAGTGGGAGCAATCTTGCGAAACTCCCGAAAACTTGAAAAGGATATCATAAGAAAACCATGCATAGTTCCAAAGATTACTCTTTGGAACAAGTGCAAAAATTTCGAATTGAGGTAGAGTTAAAGAGCCGAGATAAGAATGAAAATTCTTATGAAGGCACTTTAAAGGCTAATGTTGTAGAGAAGACCGAACCTTCAAACAAATTCAACAAAAGAGAGCCTTCTAAAAACTTTAACTAGTTTAAAAAGAATTCCAATGGTGGTTTCTTTGTACGTGGGAAACCAGGACATTATGCAAAGGAATGTCGACACCAAAAGCAAACAACTCCGAAGGAAAAATGAACTCTATCAAAGAAGACAATATTGTGGCTAGGAATGACAAAAAAGCTCGGCAGCTCGGACGACTCGGGCTCGGCTCGGAAAAAGCCCGAGCCGGGCCCGGCTCGGGCTCGATGGAACCGAGCCAAGGCTCAGGCCGAGCCTCATGTTGAGGAGTAGGCTCGCGCCGGGCCGGCCCGTAAAAAAAAAAAAAAAACAACTTGCCCAACACTTTTTATTTTATACCATAAATTATTGGGGATGAATGGTTTAAATTAAGACAAATGATCACAATTTACTTAATCAACTTATTCTTCTCATCATGAAACTAATAAACTAATTATAAGCTACAATTTTATCTCATAATTTATCAACTAGATTATTTTGGAAAATGTGTGATATTTGTTTGTTTAATATTTATTGCATTATTACTATTTCATTAATCTAAGTGCCTAAATATTTAAAGTAAGAATTTTTTTTCATTTACACACGTTTATTCTTCTATATTAATTATTAAGTGAAATTATTAGTGATCTATATTACTTGATTACATTTAAAAATTGAGCTAATTTCACCAATGGGCAATGCCGCAATGGCCACTAAAATTTGTAAGAAATTTCAAATCGGTTATTAAAAAAGATTTATCACTTTGTTATAATGGATAGTCACTCATTTAGTCATTTATAAATCTAACATGTTTTCCGATATTAGGCTATAAGGTGCCACCAAAAAAGTAGATTTTTTTAAAATGTAGATTTTTAAAACTTCATTATATATTATGTTCAAACTTCAAAGAATCGTTCCAATTAGATTTTTGTTTATAACTTTCTTATGTAAAGGTCATTGTCTAAAGGTGGAAAGAATGCAAATTGCAACGTTCACTGTCCATTTGAATAAGCAAATATCCATGTAATGAATTTTTACAAA